CGCTTAACGGAACTTATCTTGTCGTGTCCGTCTAACGGAGCTTGTCTTGTCGTGTTCGCCTAACGGAGCTTGCATCTACATCTGCTTGTTGGCAACCTCATGACGTGTACCGCCATTAGTTTGATGGGGGTGGGGGTGTTGGAATTTATTAGGTTTATTTAGGAAATTAATTAGAGATTTGATTTGATTTGATTTTGTAGTAGGGTATTTTTGGCATTTACGCATTAGGGTTTCTTAGGTTTATTGCTCTAGAAATAAAGCTTGTAATTTAGTTTGAGAATTATGTTAGTCACAATGTAGCCTCTTAGGGTTTTGTAGTCGTTCTGGCATTCTCATTTGTTTAATAATATTCTTATTATTTTGTTAGTCTTGTTCGTTGCGCATTCTGATATTCAACTGTTAGGGACATATCTAGGAAAAGCATTGATTTAGTCGTCTTATTGCAAGTTCATTATTCTGATTTTCTATTCCCAAATGATTCATCAGATGCACCTCAATTCTTCATTGAATAGCTATTAAAATTAAGTAAATACCACATTTGGTCATGTCAAATGTTTGATTTGTCTTCTGTATGTTTTTTAAAGAAAGGTAATGGAAAAAAAATAGTGATTAAATATAAAATTATTATCAAAAGTGGAGAAAGTTGAGATTCTATTGTAAAACTAATTAGTAGTATAGGGGGTAACTAACTATTTATAAGCTATTACAAGTTTTCTTCTTTTACTGATGTGAAACTTTTTTACTTTGACATTCTCAAACACCTTCTCACATGTAGTTGATTTTTCAACCAAATTATATGAACAACACAAATTGAATGACGCGAAACACGTGTGATCGTCACTCTGATACCATGAAAAAACTTAAAATTTTACAAGTTTTCGACCAATTACTAGGAGGAATTTCACATAATGCTCTCCAGTAACCTTTCAGCTTATAATACCAAAATATTAATCCATCAAAACGCAATATTTGTTAAACGTAATATGGAAGCATGGCCGCTGTAGTCTAGCTACAGAATGAGTATATTACGTATGTTTCACTAGTGGGAGAACCTCTCTAACATGTTAAGAAAATGCAAAACCTAATTGCTCTACCCTTGCGGGGCAATGTGTCTCCACTTTGGCTTCATTGCCCCAATATAAACCCAACTATGGTAAACATTCGAATATGCAAGTAGTAATGAGTCCTTAACATCTGGGTATTTTGCTCTTACGAAAAATACATGCACCACACACTTTTTGTGGTTTTTGACCATTTTGCAACATAGTTTTATCAGCCAATAACGATGTTTGAGTCACACAGCTCGAAGATTGTGTCTCTTTTGGTCGGCAGTCGCACACACGCAGCTTGAATAATATGTTTTTGTAACACTATCTTACACCAAGGGCGTGTTTAATCAAATTGAGAGGAAATGAATTGAGGAGAAATTGGATTGGGGAGGAATTGAAATGAGGTGGAATCAGAATCAGATTCATGTTGAAGTTGTTTACTAAGGCCTCGTTTGGCACGCCGTATAAAGCATCGGATAGGATAAATAATACGGGAGCAGTTGTTTGGTGCACTCTCGTACTAAATAAGCACCCGCTTAATTATCCGGCCCATCAAATTTTATACGGTTGACACCGTACTATTAAAACAGCCCAAAAGCTCCGGATAATTAGTCGGGGCGTGTCCTCTCCAACTTCACGAAGCCGCCGTTAACGACTTCTCAAAGTGGGCCTTCGAGCAGTTCCTCGACGAGTTTTCCACCCTAGGCGCCACTCCTCTGCAGTCATTCTCCGACTAATTTCTCGTCTCGTCCGACGGAAAGCACACAGAGGAACAAAGAAGAGAGTGAGAGAGAGACAAAAAGAGACCAGTAGCAAAATAACATATTCCACAGGGATATACAGAAAGGGGCGGATGGAAGCTAAGGAATTCGCCAACTGGAGGCGTCACTCAGCTCTTCCCCTCCTCCAAATCGAATTTTGTCAATGCTTTTCCCCAACCTAATGCCCAAAATCAGTCAGCCCCATTTTTCTCTCTGATGAGTGTTCTTGGTTTGTTGAAAAAAAGGTGTCCTCCGTGAATTTCCTTCCAATTGTTTTTTAGGACAAATAGAAAACAAATTCCTTTGTGTGAATTTTCTTGGTTTGTGGTGTGTTTTTTTGCTGGGTTGATTTGTAGCTAAAAAAAGAGAAGGATTGGGAAAAAAAAGATGAGAATTTGAAAGGTGGGTTTTGTTGGGTTTCTTGTTGCTACCTTTGTGGTGGGGTTTAGTTCAAGGGAGCAGACGGGGAAGAAGAATAAGGGATAGAAAGGGAGGGAGTGAGTTGGGGGGGGGGGTGCCGCAGAGAGATCTGGAACAAGAGAGATGATTTCAGTTTTTTTTTTTAAATTTTATTTTAAGTTTGATTCCTTCTATCCGATATAATACCAAACACAGTATAAATAATACGGTCATTAGTCCGATACTGCACCAAACGCCCGACTAATTTAGTCAGTACTATCCGATGACTATTTATCCTATCCGACAGAAATAGTCAGTACAGTCCGAGCTGCCAAACGAGGCCTAAAACTGTCTGGAATCAGAGTAGGAATGATGTTAAGTCCATATAAATTGTTCACTAATTCACTTCAATCGGAATGAAAACTCGGTTGATTACTATATTGCCCTTACATAAATAAATTATTTTTATACTAATTAATTGAATTAAATTCCTAATTAAATTTATATAATAAAATTCATCTATATAAAAATATAAAAATAAGTTTTATTTATTTATTAAAAGATGGTATGAATGATGTTGAATACATATAAGTTGTTTACTAATTCACTTCAATCGGAATGAAAACTAGGTTGATTACTAAATTGCTCTTACATAAATAAATTATTTTCATACTAATTAATTGAATTAAATTTATATAATAAAATTCATCTATATTAAAATATATAAATAGGTTTTATTTATTTATTAAAAGATGACATAATGAGTGTCAAATGAATGACAATATTGGGATAATAAGAAACAAGTGAGGGCATAATTGGTAAATAAACTCCATTCCGAATTCCTCAAGTTACAAGGAATTGAAATACCTCCCTTTTGTAGGGAGTCCAATTCCTCCAAAATTAGGAGTTGAATTCCTTAATGCTTGTGGACCCCACATGTATTTGATTCTCTAAGATTACATAAACAAAAGTGTATCCCGTAATCGGAATCCAATTCCGTAAATTGATTCCGATTACGGGTACGTAAACGTGCCACAAGACCTCATATGAGCTTCGCTAGGGAAATAAAAGGGCTATGATTGGGCCAACAATAACACCGGTCAACACAAGGGAAGGTAATAACCAAAAAGACAAACACAACAGAAACCCTAATTCCTATCTTGCAACGATTGAACATCGCTCCCAAACGTCTTGTCAGTAACCTGAGGCAACTGCAATGGAGAAAGTAACTGAGTGGTTCATTTGACCAAGTCATTGCAAAACAAAATCTTCAAACCGCAACATGAAGTACACCACAACTAGATTTCGCCACTAGCGACACCCCATCAAAAGAGAACATCGAATCCGATTCACCTTCTCACACTCTTGCAGCTACATCCTAAGACAACTAAAAGTAAAAGGTGTCGGGCTAAGGTGGTATGCAAAATATCCTTGATGCAACGCACTTGTTCTTGAAAATCCAGCAGGTCGGTCGGGTGAGGGGCAATAAAAGGGGGGATTAAAACTAGCGTCCCTCTTCGAATAGCTAACACCCATGTGAGAATTGTTGGCTGCGGCCAAAAGCTTATTCGAACAAGATTACAAACATTCAATGGCGTAGCCACCCACAAGGCTAAGGTGGGCTGTAGCCAGGGAGGTTTTCTGTAAAAGTGTACCATCTATGCACTCATTTTTACTTCTCATATACCATTCTCAATTTTTGGTTGTTCAAATTGAATGAGTTGGAGATGATCATTGACAGATAATTAATAAGGTTGTGTTGGAAGTAAAAGTGGGTTTGCGAATATAACTATTCTTTTGTAAAATCATGTTTATAGCTTACCCAATTTCAATAGAGATTATTATTTAATGTATGTTTTATAGAGGATAGGTAATAAATAATAAGTTTTTTTGCTAAAAATTATAAATTAATTCTATCTCCAGCCCCTCTTTATCATATTCTTTAAAGAAAAAGACCATTTACCCTATGTAATTTAGCCTTTGTGCTTCTTACTCAAGAAAAGAAAAATAATTTCTTTAAATCCTTATCTCCGTAATTCCTTAATTTCCGTTGCGATTTTCCAATAAATGTCACCTTTGGTACTTTCTTAATCTTTATATTTACTTCTTCTTGATTTAATTAGTAGGTTAATTATTTATATGGTTCATGAATTTATCGATTAGGGTTATGATTTTGAGAATAGTTTATATTATATAATTGTTCTTTTATATTGATTATTATATAAGTTTATATAAGCAAAAAATAAACATATGATTTTATAGTACTATTTTCAATTAGCCCACCCAAAGAAAAATCCTGACTCTACCCTTGCATACATTTGAATTAAGTCATCGTCCTGCTACAATAGTCTATCCTCCCATCGCTATGAACGAAGTGAGGAAAGACGATAACCTATTATATTGATTAGTTGGTACAGTGTGACACATAGAAAATTGACTGTATAGATTGTATAAGCATCAATTCATGGTGAATACATGTGTCCAAAATGTCATTGTACAGATTTGTTTGAGACTCATGACCAATTTGTGGATTCTTATTTGGAGGCAGATTGTATGTCCTTCTGTTTGGATGCCCTTCTCATTCTTTTTTATTTGTACCGTCACGGTTAAGTCACATCAATATTTTATATTCTTATTATTTTTTATCTTATTATCTTTATAAAAAAAAAATAATATAAAATATTAATATAACTTAACCGTGACCGCACAAAATAAAAAATGATGAAAAAAATACATCCAAACAGAAAGGCTGACAATCTGCCACCTTCTTATTTACCTTTTTCTTCAAAGCTCCATGTGGATAAAGTCAACAAATTTTGGAATTTGTTAGGCACGCGCTAGAAAAAATCTATAAGAAGTTCAAATCCAAAACGCGCAAAAGCCTACAAATTGAATTATGTCCGGTATCGTTTCCAACCCGGATGGCACGTACACCCGTCGCATACAATTCCCAACCGTACCCGCCGAGCCCAACCCGAATTCTCCAACGACTCGGGTCCTCTCCAAAGACGTCCCTGTAAACCCGGAAACCCGAACCACGGCCCGACTATTCCTCCCCCGCGAAGCCCTCGATTTACCCACCTCTAAACTCCCTCTCGTTTTTTACTACCACGGCGGCGCGTTCATTTACCTCAGCGCCGCGTCATCCAGCATCCACGACTTTTGTTCCGACATGGCTCTCCAGCTCCGAGCTCTTGTCGTCTCCCTGGAGTACCGCCTAGCACCCGAGCACCGCCTCCCGGCAGCATACGACGATGCTGTGCATGCGTTGCACTGGATTGCCTCCACCAGAGAAGAGTGGGTCACTGAATTTACAGATCTGTCCAGTTGCTTTTTAATGGGAACTAGCGCTGGGGGGAACCTGGCTTACCACGCGGGGCTGCGCGCGTGTGAAGATATTGGCGATCGTCTCCAGCCTCTGCGAATCAAGGGGCTGATATTGCACCATCCGTTCTTTGGTGGGTCCGACAGAACAGGGTCAGAGCTGGCAATAGCAGATGACCCAATTTTGTCGCTACCCGGGTGCGATGGAGGTGGAGTTTGGCGTTGCCCGTCGGCACAGACCGTGACCATGTGTACTGCAATCCAACGGTGGGAAAAGAATCTGAAGATCGTTACGTTGGAATTCGGGAGATGGGTTGGCGGGTCTTGGTTACGGGTTGTTTCGGAGACCCTTTGATTGACCGTCAGATGCAGTTGGCGAAGATGCTGGAGAAAGAGGGCGTACGTATAACGACCCACTTTGGCGATGGTTTCCATAGTATGGAGGTAATCGACCCGTCTAAAGCCCAAGACTTTTTTGTTGTCTTGAAAAACTTCGTGTATACTACTTAGGGCCAATTTGGAATTATTGTGATTTTTTTTTAAAATTGTTTCTGATGTATTTTATTTTAAGAATAATCAGCTGTAAAATAAAACAGTTGAGTGTGATAAATTGTATTTTAAAAGTATTGTGGGTATGAAAAGCAGTTCAAAAGTGTTTGGTAAATTTTAATGTAAAAGTGATATAATTATGTATAATGACCAAAATGAACATGATTGTATAGGCAATGATGACGACAACAATGTCGAGAGCAATGGTTTGATAGTGGTTGTGCCAATAAAAGGGGTGTGGTGATTGGACTATAGAGGTAACAATGGTAGTAAGGCGGCCACAACGACAGTTATGTTAATTGTGGTTGTGGTTATGGTGACAGTGGTGAAGGTTGTGTTTATGGTGGTTGTGGCAGCAATGATGGTAGGGGCAGTTGTGATAGTGTCAATTGTGATTGTGGTAGTAGTGATGGTGAGTATGGTTGTGGTGGTGGTGGTGGTGCTGATGCGGTGGTGGTGGCAACAATAGTTGTGGTAGTGACAAAGGTGGTGTAAGAGGTTAAGATTTGTGGTGGGAGGTAGTGATCACTTTGTTCTCTAAGTATAAAATGTGTCTAGAATGATAAATAATATCATTTTTTTTAAATTATGGAGCGTTTTATATGAATTAACAATATTCATTAAAGGCTTAACTCCGCTCTTTATTAAAGTAGAAGCAACTTTTAAAAACAATCTACATACTGCTTTCAAAAGCTGTTGTCTTAAAACCATTATTTTTAAAATGAACAGGATATTTTATTTGTACCAAACATTTTTTTATTGCTTAACTTTAAAGTGACGTAGTTTTTGGTGAAAAAACAATATCAAATTAGGCCTTAATAGTTTGTTTTTTAGTGAAAAAATATAACATTAAGTTAATTTTTTTTTTCATTTTTCTTTTGACACTTGATAGAGTAATTTATACTAAATTTTGAGAAGGGAGATTTGAACATAGAATTTTGAATGCATGGACGAATACTTTTAAGCAACAAATCTACAAGTCACTTACATTTTTTTTATATAAAAATCAAATCATATAATATAAGATATGGTTAATTATTATACTTTGCATTTGTTTAGTTTTGGCTCGATAAGGGTTTGATCTGTCTTTTAAAATTGGGAATTTTAACGAAAAGCACTCGGTACTGTTCACTTTAATGAAAAACCACATTTTTACACTAAAAAGTCAATCCTGGTATGATTCACTTTACCCTTTATTTTGTCTTTATCATTAAAACTCAAAGTTTTCAAGCCCTTTTCATTAGTTTTCCTTTTAAAATTCCACACACTTTAGTTTGTACAACACTAGAATTTCGAATAATTAAACCACCGATCGATTTCGTTGCAAATTTTTTATTTTTTATTTCTTCAAAAGGGAGACAATTGGTGGCTGGCCACGGTTACCCACCTATTTCGAAGGCCGGGAAGACTCATTGAGGTATTTTAGCCTCCCCATGGCCACAAGTTTGGCTTTCACACCAGTAGCGGCTTTGAAACCCGAGACCTCCAGTTTTTAGTTTTAAGGAAGTCTCGTAATCCGCCATTTACCACTGAGTCACTAGCTCGTGGTTGATTTCATTGTAAATTAACTTGATATAAATCGGCAGAAAGCAATACCTAATAATGTAACAGTTCGTAAATTTTTACGATAGAAATATCTTGACACTTAAATCACCTTAGCTTAAGAAATAGGCCAAGGGATATTCATCTAAGTTGTCTTAGATCCGAAAATAGCCATAATTTGGCTTATGATTCATTCAAACCTAAAAGATGGCAAATCATGCAGATTTTAGGTCAAACACAAACGATATTTCACTTTAAATTATATTACATAAAGAGAAACACAACCCCAAATACAAAAGAGCTCTAATCAATATTGCCACATACGTGATGTTACAATAAGTTATAAGTTTAAACGTTGTTTTCAAGTGTTTATGGGACATTGACTAAACTTTTTGGGGTGCAGTATGTCGATAGTATTGAGTGGTGAGCTCAATTATTAAAGATTGATTACAGCTTAATCCATCTAAATTATAAAGTAAAGATGCTTCAACCTTAAGTCTTCGCAAGCACCTACCCTCTCCCAACGAGACAATTAATAAAAAGTTAATAATGTCCGACGAAACGCCAGCAACCCATTCCAATTCTCTCTCTGCCGTCGATCGCTACCAGCACCTCCCGATTGTCCAGCACAAACGGCACCGTCAAACACTTAGCCCAAATTCCAAACAGCACACCCACATGTGGATAAATTGTATAGTGTGAACACATCTTAGTACAATAAGTATCTTAATACAAGTAGTTGAAAATTATTATTTTTTAAGTATCTAACTATTTGTATTATGATATTTAGTTTAGCGAGCTGTGATCTCGGCACACTAAAAAATCTCTTCCATATGCGACCCTTCACATGCCAGTTTTCTCCATAGACGTCCAACCAATCTAACAACTGGGTTCGGTTGTTCCTGCCCCCTCTTGTGCTGGATTGTTCCTGCTCAACTACACGTGCCGCCAAGTTTCCCCTAGTCGTCTTTTAACAAAGGTTGAGATTTCATGTAAGTTTGACTATTTTTCATATTGCTAATTGGTTTTATGGTAGAACCCAAACTTTCTTTATGGTGTCAAAGCTGCTTCTTCCACTTATGAAACCCAACTGCCATATGCGCTCCATGTCACTCCTTTTGTGTTAATCTTGTGTTTTGCTTGAAAATTCACCACATGAAAGTGTGTGTTGATAATCAATACCTACATTGATGAGGAAATGGACCAGCCGTGGACTTATAAGTAAGTTTAGACTACTTCATATATTATCAATTGGGTTTTTGCTAAAACCCCTACTTTCTTCATTTCAATGAAGCTCTATCACATCATTCACGTCGAATGAAGATTCTCTTTGGGTCCTCTTTGTGAGGATCTCAGGTATCACTTCATCGTATCCGTTTATCGTATATCGTGCGACTAGTTTTTTGTCAGGTACTGTTTGTGTTCAATTTTAAATAAAAAATTCAAAATAATTTCTGACCGCATGATGACAGATGAGTGGATACAATAAAGTAATCTCTATTCGATTCACGTCTATGGTACGTGATTTCATGTAAATTTTTCTTGTACGATCTCATTTACAATCTCAACCATAATCCAATATAATTAGTACACTCTTTTACATACCAAGTGATTTCAAGCTCATATCCCTACTTCATAAAATTTTGCATGGACCAATGAGCTATCTTCCTTGTTGGGCTTAGCCCATGTTTTAAATGTCCAAAATATGTCAAAACAGGAACTAGAGGAACTCAGTTTGTCTGAGAGTCATGTTCATTGTGGACCGTCCAGTTGCATGCAAAGCCGATACACGTACGAGATTAATGTAAACCTATCTAGCTCAACAGGTTATAAGTTCTATTACATTTGAGATGTTGTGTTCTAAGTTCTAACAAGGACAAGATATTGGTAATGAAATATTAAACATGAACCACAAAATTAAAAGTATAAAGTTGTATAATGATTAACTCAACAGAGGCTACAACTCATGGAATTTGAACGTTTTGTTGCTAATTGACTTAATTAACTAACAGAATACCAAAATCTAATTCATGATAGTGATTGGTCACAATAGTGTAACAGAGAATTTGACTTAAATCATCACGTACGAGTGGTGAAGCACAACATATTTGGGGCCAAAAGTTTTCTGTTCCATGACCACATAACACACGAATCCACTACCGGTCCTCAGTTTTTAAGGTTTGTTTGTGAAAATCATTTTATGGGTTCTTCAAAAATTGGCTAGATTTACTCAACAAGTTTTTAGTTTTCAAGTTTAAAAAAAAATGAACACTATAATATTAGAACTAAAAACTAAAATAATTATCAAACAAACCCTTAATAATAATATAGAACAAATGACGGAGTGGATAAAAGATCAAGCATAAGGTGCTAATTGGGAAGAACAAGAGCAAACCATTGCATAGTTGGGCTTCGGGTCCGATGGGCCTGTGACCCATAATTTGAAGAGAACGTCAACACATCACACTCACCACTTTGCAATGACATGTGGTCTATTTTTTTTTTTTTTTTTTTTTTTTTTGAATTCTATTGTTTGCTAGCCCAAAACGAGATTTTAATATTTTAGGATGTTTTTGGTATTTTCTTATTTAATTATTTCATTTCCTATTAAGAGTAATTCTAGGGTTTCTTAACCGTTAGTTTGTTATCTTTCATATTATTCATTTATAAACTTTAAGGTTTTTGCATATTTTTGGTAGATTCTTATGCTGTTGTTCTCTTAAGAACAACGCTATTTATTCTTCTTTTTGTTATGTTGCGTCAATAATAGAAAGAAAAAAATAGCGATTTGCAACTTTAAGCTATAAAATAAATTTCCTAGCCACTAAAATTTTATGCCACACGTAACACACTCCTATTAAGTAAAATTTAATAAGTTGAAGCTTAAGAAACATCATATTTGACCAGTAAACTAGTTTGACTTGTACTTTAATTGGTATCGGGGAAGAGGGGCAAGAGGGAGTAGATGGTGTCAAGATATATAAGCAGGCAGGCAGGGATGGGTTTGAAATTTTGGCAGGAAGAAACGGGGGCAAGGCCGCCGTTAACCCACGCCGCCACTGGCCACACTTGTAACCATGGTGGACCTACACACACACACATCTATCGATCTATCTTTCTGTATGCCCACGCTTCAGTTAAAAGAAAAAGGGCCTTGGATGCGTATAAGAACTAAAAGGAGTTTTAGACACATAATCAAAAGAAATACAAAGGGACTGAATTTCTTTCTTGTCATTGATCGAATTAGGGTTACAACTTTGATATGGAGTCAATACAATCTTTTTAAATTAAGCAAAATAAGATAATTAATGTTCTTATCAGTCTTTTTGCAAATGAACAAATTTGTAATTAAAAAAGAGTAATGTTATTCTCACCCACCTTTTAATGAAATTTTTAATTACAAATTTGTTCATTTGCAAAAAGACTGATAAGGACATTAATTATCTTATTTTGCTTAATTTAAAAATAAATAAAAAAGGTTGGTGTGGGAGACGATTTGTCTACCTTAAAACACTAACTCATGTTTTCATCTCCTTTCATTTAGAGAAAGTAAAAAAATATCAATGGACTCAG